CCCCAAAACCCCAAAACCCCAAAACCCCATCAAACATCCATAAAGTATTAAAGTTATATTATGATTGAATACTTTTAGTATATAAACTTCTACTCCATAATTATTATTAAATAGTAATATCATAAGATAAAGATGGATTCAGAACAAAAAGACTTTAAAGCAGTTAAAGTCTAATTGAAATCAAGTTAAAAACAAGGAGAGTAGCTCTCAAGAAGCATGCTCTATTCCGGAATAAACATATTTGGACAGCTTTCCTAGCTTTACCTTCAAAATAAGGAGGCTGGTGGGGCATATGCCAGCTTCTAAGCTTAGGTATAAACCTAGTCATCAAAATCAGATGATTCAGGATCAGGCTCAATGATGCATTTATCTCAGGATATAATCTAGATCTTCAAAAGACTCCAAAAGAAAGATTCTACCACTAAGATCAAGGCTCTTTAAGAACTTGAGAAGTATATCGAAGAGATAGACAATTCTCAATTCTCAAACTAAGATTAGGATTCTGATGAGCTCTAGAACCTTCTAACTTTTTTCTTGTATCATTTCTGTCGCATTATCATGAATGAGCCTGACAAAAAAGTAAGAGAGTCAGCTCATCAGGCATTTGCTTAGTTTATTAAAAAGGCCAAGAAAAGAATTGGACCTCATCTAAAAAAGATCTTCTCCATTTGGTATTGCTCATTCTTTGATGTGTCACAGGAGGTAGCGTCACTTGCTAGAAGGAACTTTGAATTGGCATTCCCTGAAAACAAGAGAGAGCAGGTATTTAAAATAGCCTATAAGAACTTTCTTCACTTTGCCAATGAATAATTGAAGCAAAGTGAGGACTAAATTAGTGATAGTGCCTACGATTTATCAAAGGCTTAGAGGGAGGATGTCTTTGATAGAGTTACCAGTAGTGTTCTACTTTCTCTTGCATCTAGTTTTGGCTTTATAAAGACTTGGTCAGAAGAGGAATAGCAACACTTTAAGAAGAAATTAATTGATATACTAGATCTCAATGTTGAAATAAAAGATGTCTCAACAGAGTAGACAAAAGATAAAAAGCTAGGCAAGTAAAAAATAAGCCAGAGCTACCTCTGGAACTTCCTTTAAGGAGCTTACAGAGGAAGAGTCAGATCGTCTTGCCTTCAATTTATTTCAAATTTACTGCTTAATCTACCCAATGATGTAGTTTAACACCACATTAACTAGCTATCACCACTTGTTTATAAGCTGGTGGGAGAAGACAACTCAAGTCTTTAAACTACACTTTGGAGAGATGCCTTGTTCACTTTAGGCAAAAATTATCCTCAGTCTTGGGAAACAATTAATATTAAGAAGGACTTTATTCCAAAGCTTTACAATTCACTAAAGAACTCGGCCTATGGTGCCCCTAGTGCTCTTTATGAGAATTTCATCAAGTTTACATCTATCTTCCCATTCTATCACTTGGTAGACTATACTGAAGACAAAACAAACAAGGCTTCTTTCAAGGAAAGATGCAATTTGGTGAGAGAAGCTTTTACCACCCTCTATTAAGGATTAAAAAATGATGAGTCAGTTGCATTTCATCAAGATCTCACAAAATCATACTATGAGACTTTAAGTTTTATCCTATGGAAAAGAGTTTAGCCTTTAATTCAAAAAGATTCAGCTTCAAAAGAGGATAAGGAATTTTGTCTCGATCAGCTAAAGAAGTGCATTCAAGTTCCCATTGAGGATTATATAGGCAATTTTGAGAAATTTAGAGCCAAGTAATAAAATGAGAGAAATATCAGATTCACCATACCATAATAATTCACTAAGATGCTTTAAGATATCTCTGAAAGAAATATTGACCCCATTATTTTCGATTGTGTCCTAAGCCATTTATATGAGACATTGAATCTTAATAAGGATAAGTTGAATACTGTAAGATTCCTAGGTCAATTGCTGAACTTTAAAGGTGATAAAAATAATGATTACTTTAGAATTAAGATACTCTAGAATATTTACCTCAGATTCCTGGATTAAGTAATTGTTGATCAGAAGTCTTCAATCGATTCATTGAGTAAAGATAACATTCAACAGTAAAAATCAAACTAGATATTACTCAGACTTATATATAAATTAAACAAGAAAAACATTAGTATTGAGGGTCTTAAGCTAAATACTCAAACATTATAGGACAACCTAAATAATTTAATCAAAAAAGAGACTTTAGCATCAAAAGTCCTGAGTTAGGAGAATAAAACCATGCTATAATAGTTAAAAGATAACTTAGTTAAATGTGTTGTCTTATCACTTAATCTCATAGCCACTCCATAATTAAAGGATTTCATTGACCAAAATTTGACCTAAAATTCATATTCTCAGACAACAAGAAATCTATTCCTCCTTCCATAACAGGAGTTTAAGAAGCTTGACTTTGGTAAGTATTTTACAACTTTGAAGTAAGACTGCCATGATATGATCCTTAGCTACTTACAATCCTAGATTATTCAGGATAGAGAAAATATTATTACTAATAGCTCAGTTATCAGTCAAGTTGTGAAGAGAGTTATTGATGGATAAGTTTCATATCTACTGAGTGAAGATTTAAGTACTATCTCCAAATCTTTAGTGGCAATGATAAGTCAATTAAAGAATGAAACTTAGCTAATATAAGCATATTACAGTGCTGCTGATGGATTACTATCATTGGTAGGGGATGAGAGTTACTAGAACTTAAGAGAGATCCTATTTGATAAACTAATAATTTTAAGATCAGGCTCTCAATCCTACAATCAGCTATGGTCTATATTTGAAAACGTACTCAGAAATTTCAATTCTAAAAAGGAGATGAATTATTTCAACTACTGTCAATTAAAGCTTAAAAAGGAATTAAAGAACATCATTTAGCAAAACTCAAACTATCAATTTGAGACATTTAACAGATTTACTAATATCGTGAAATCATTTGTTCAGATGTGTTCAGACAAACAAACCATAATTGAGGAAATTCTCTTGATTGAGGACAACTTCAGCAATCTAGAGAACAATAGTTTACCTATGAAAATGTTTAGAGATCTTTTCTTGTCAGGAGGTATTGGCTTTGATGTGACCAGATTATTCACTTCAGATCTCAAGTATGTGTGGCTTGCTAGTGAGCTTCTTAATGCTAAATACTTACCATCTCTAGGAAACTTCCTTTAACTAAAGAAACAACTATTAATTTTTGTTGACACAGAGTTAATTCCAACATTAATCAACTAAGTTCAGAGCGGAAATCAAAACTTTGTTCTATAAATGTGCGATTACATGAATAAGAAAGCATCTACAAATGCTGACTTTATCTACTCCCTTGAATTTCTAGTCTAAAAAATGGTAGACCCTGGTGAAGATTTCCCTGAAAGTGAAAAGCCTCTTTTAAAGGTAGATGAATTCAAGCAAATATTTTATCAGTCTAGTAATTAGATATTGGATGCTTATTTGAGCGGAGAGACAATTGAGTCAAATAACTAATATCAAATCTTCTTAAAGTTACTGAAAGTTTTAGCCTACTTTATCACAGATGACACTCAGATTTAGAAAATATTCACAAAAGCCTAATCTAATCTCAAACAAGGTTTAACCTCTGGCACTTTGGAACTTAATCACGATTTTTCAGTAAATCTTGAGATTTACATCAGCCTTCTCGAGTACTTTAAAACATCATAAGATGATGAAATAATGGCATAACTTATTCCTAAACTTCAAAATAACACCTACTAAGGTACTGCTTACTATATAGTTACAGCTATACTCAAATATATTTCATCAATCTTAAACCTGATTGGACTAAGTGAATTCCTGAAACTTGAGAGCAAATCTGACTTCCAAAGCTTTGTTAGCCAAATGATTGAGATTCAAAGAGAAAAACAGTTTGAGGCTATTACCTATATCAACTTATTGTCACTTATAAGAAAAACTATTGGTTCAGATTTAATTAAAGATAAGCAACTCCTAATTGATCAAGTCATTGAAATATCAAACAGCTAATCAGAGGCTTTCTAAGAAAAGATCTAGACATTAGAAAAGAGATTAGGATAACAAGGTGATGAGGAAGGTAAATAATTGGAGGAAGATGAGTCGAATTCATAAATTGAGAGTTTTGAGTATGAGATGCTCTAGGAACTAGCTGAAACCTTACTGGCCTTCCCTAGTTACATTAATGCTCATTTGAATGAAGATAAGCTCTTTTTATTGATTGGTAGTGGAATTGAATCTATTCAAAAGGCAGCTTTCGTGTTACTAAAGCAACTCTATGAAAACTTTATTCCCCAAATTAAGCATCAATTCGATGAGGATGATGTAATCAAACAACTTAAGTTGGAATAAGATGAGATTGATAGAATTAACTTTCAGAAAGAGTTATTGGAAGAAAAAACTGATGCTTTAAATCAGGAAGAGGAAGAAGAAAAGAAAAGAGATATTTAAGCAAAGCAGGAAAAACAGAAGAATAAGTTAGCATTCAAAAATATTTCATCTAAACTTATTGAGTTGATAGAGAACCCTCCTAATATAAATGCTTATGATGAGGAGTAAAAGCACTTGGTTGCTAGTTCAATAACTTCAATCAGCTCAATGATATTTGGAGATTATAAAGAGGGATGTATGAACAGCAAGATATTTGGATACTTCTTAGCATGGAATGCTCTTTTAATAAAGATCGAGAATGGAAGAATTAAATCTCAGCTTATGTAGATTCAGGACTATCCAATAGTCATGGGAGCTCTGAATGAGTACTTTGAGGATAATTACGAGATTTATCAAATGCTTTTGGTTAGTTTAATTGCTTATCTTCCAGATTATAAGAAAGGACTTTAGGAGACTTACAATATATCAACATTCGAACCAGAGTACTGTGACCTTACAGATTTAAAGTAAAATGTCTAATACAGTGTTTACACATTGATTAACTTTATGAAAAGTTTCCCATCATTGGCTAGAAAGTATTATCAAGAGTGTGAGAAGTAGCTACTGGACATTGTTCTGCCCTATATCAAGTAAATTGTTAGCCCAGCAATTCTTGACAATGAAATTAAAAAGATTGAGGTTGCCTAGACTCAGCTTGGTTCAAGCGAACTATCATTCGCTCTCTACAAGTCTACAAAGGAAATTACAGCTACTTATTCTAAGAACGAGATCTAGATGAATTTAAGAATAAAGATACCAAACGAATATCCTCTAAAACTAGTAGAAGTTGATGTCAGCAAATAGATTAAAATATCTGAGAAGCAGATGAGGAAATGGATATTGTCTATCAGAAAGATCTTGCAATTCTAGAATGGAGATATTATATCTGCTGTGCTCCTATGGAAGAATAACATTGACAAGGAAATCGAGGGTGTAGAGGACTGCTACATTTGCTATTGTGTAGTTCACGAAGGGGATCAGAGTTTACCAAGAATGCCCTGCAAAACTTGCAAGAACAAATTCCATGTTGCTTGTATTAGAAAATGGTTCAGATCCTCAAACAAGAGTAACTGTCCCATCTGTCAAAACTATTTCTTCGCTTGATTCAAGAAATATAGCAAAGACTTACAAGATTTAATTCTTAATTTCATAACTATTAAAATATACAAATTTAAGATCATGGGGTTTTGGGGTTTTGGGGTTTTGGGG